GGGGGGGGGGGGGGTTGTCGGAAATTTGAAAGTTTTGTCTGAAATTTAGAAGGGTTCGCCACCCCACCGGTAAAAGTGAATTTCCGCCACTGTGTACTGTACTGTACTGTATTGTACTGAACTGTATTGCACTGTCTTGTATTGCACTGTATTGTATTGTATTGTATTATATCGTATCGTATCGTATCGTAACCTTTCGTATCGTATCGTATCGTAACCTTTCGTATCGTATCGTAACCTTTCATATCGTATCGTATCGTAACCTTTCGTATCGTATCGTATCGTATGTACATCTGATGTGTTAATAGTCTTTTATTGGTAACGATAGCGGTAGTGAAATCAAATCTGAAGCTTTCTTCCATCTCTACCAGGAAAGCGGAGTGAAAAAACTGGAACAGATTAGTAAAAACTTACTAAGTATCGCTTCAAATCCTGACACAAGAACAGGGCAAGAAATTGACAGAACAGCGCGATCAGTGCTATCCAGTTTGTCTAAGATTTTAAGCGCATCACTGTTCACCGGTCAAGACACGAGTAAAAAAGATGGTTTGTTTTTAAGTTGTTTTTCACTTTTTCTATAACTTGCTCGTTTAGTCCTTCTGAATTTGATCAAAACTTTATCCACCGATTTAATGAACTATGGTTGACCAACTTGACTGGGTAACCTGGTTTCAAGAATATTATTAGTGGAATCAAAATTAAGAAATATAGTTTGATAATAAGGTTGATATTTTCCCTTGTATTTCAGCCCCAGAGGAAGTAAAACCAAACCTTTACGGTACTCTCTCCAGGAAAGGATCTGCTTTGGAGAAGGTATGGGGTTGCTGTAATTGTAACTTACACTTGATAGCGTAGTTTTATTTTTAGTAATTACGTAAGCAAGCAAGTAAGTAAGTGAGCTAATTGTCCTTACTAATCCTTAATCAATGCCTGATCATCCTTAATTAGTGTGCTGACCATCCTTAATTAGTGTGCTGATCATCATTCATTAGTGCGCTAATCATCCTTAATTAATGTACTGATCATCCTTAATTAGTGCGCTGACCATCCTTAATTAGTTTGGTGACCATCCTTAATTAGTGTGCTGATCATCCTTAATTAATGTGCTGATCATCCTTAATTAGTGTGCTGATCATCCTTAATTAGTGTGCTGATCATCCTTAATTAGTGTGCTGATCATCTTTAATTAGTGTGCTGATCATCATTCATTAGTGCGCTGATCATCCTTAATTAGTGTGCTGATCATCCTTAATTAGTGTGCTGACCATCCTTAATTAGTGTGCTGATCATCTTTAATTAGTGTGCTGATCATCATTCATTAGTGTGCTGATCATCCTTAATTAGTGTGCTGATCATCCTTAATTAGTGTGCTGATCATCCTTAATTAGTGCGCTGACCATCCTTAATTAGTGTGCTGATCATCCTTAATTAGCGCGCTAATCGTCATTCATTAGTGCGCTGATCATCCTTAATTAGCTAATTCCAGTGTTTTCTAACGGACCGTATCACTAACCAAGTTACAGTATCAGTTCGTAAACCATAGTGTTATTCTTTAAATTGATGTCAAAATACGAAATTTCGGCACACCCCTTGCCAAGATGGCGGAAATTGAAGAGCTAGTGGACATCACTGATCTATGCCAGTCCTTTTCTATTGTTTTTCTCTGCGCGGTTAACACGAAACTGGCTTCACTTTTTAGATTCGAGATTTAAAAGTTTACCCTAGTAAAGTTTACCCTGAATCCTTCATTGCTTTTTTCTTCATAGATCGGCAAGGAGACTCGGCAAGTTGTGGAAGTCTGGGACGAAGCAGTCGAAACAATCACTGCAGCTATGGCAAAGAAGAAGCTCTCTGGTGAAAGACCAACTGTAGTGAAAACTCCTAACTTCAAAATAAAGCTAAGTAAAAGTCGGGAAAAGGAAGGCCGCCGTATACATGCAGAAGATGGGAAGCTCAATGAGTCAAAACCTTGGATTTCTTTGCCAAAGTTGTCAAAGTTGCCGTTCTTCAGAAGAAATGAAAGCGAAAACATTTTTACTGAGGTTCGACATATTTGGAACATTTATTAGAAAATTTGCATGTGGTTTTATAGTCGTGGTGTGGATAATAACAGTTGGAGATCGGCTATTGTTCAGAACAAAAACTCAAAAAGTTTTCATTTAAATTAACGGTGTATTATTTGATTAGTACTGTTCATAAAGCATAAAAGCGAGAGAATGAACACAAATCATTTTCTTAGCCTCGCTGTGACAAGCAACAAAATCACATCACAAGTTTATAGTAGCAGACATGTTGCAGAAGATTCCATGAAACCAAGAACCAGTTGCATGGATCATTGGCTCTGCTTACCAAATGTGAAGTAATGTGATTTATTATGCAGAAAGTGACCAGCATGAGCTATCAAGTTGAATGTAAATTTTGAAAAATTTGCCGATCATTAGCCAATGTCCAAGCACAGCCTATCGAAGAGGAGATGGCTGTGAAACTCATTAGAACAACAATATAACTTATTTACTATGTTAGTCAACGTTTATTCATAAATCTGGTCCTTCACCGTCACGTGTGTATTGTATTTTTACCAAATCCACCAATAGCAATTTCCAGTTCCCCTATTGTTCGAGTCACGGATAGGTAACTTTCCTAAAACATTGATATTGGTTTGTTGGGCAGAAATACAATACGCACGTGACGGTGAAGGACCAGATTTATGAATAAACGTTGACTAACATAGATAATGAGTTATACTGTTATTCTAATGAGTTTCACAGCCATCTTCCCTTCGATAGGCTATGGTCCCAGCACCGAGCAACTGCACAAGTTTATCGGGCATTTGTCAGACCCAAGCGAAATTGTTATAATCCATGCCGCACTTGTTTGATACTCGAAAGCTACGTTTACACGCAGCGATTTGTCGTGTACGATTTTAGAACAGTTTCGAACTGATAGAGTTATCCAGTATAAATAAAGTTAGTTTAGTACTTTAGTTTAGGTTTCCTCCTGTAGTAATACTGGACCAATAATAGATGATCCTTACTGGACCTCTAGGGAGAACAGTTTAGAACGGATAGAGCTATCCAGTAGAAATAAATTCGGATTAGCATAACAGGATTTAATTTTTTGGTTTTCGTATTTTAGGCAATCTCTTTCGAGAAAAATCCATATACTTGGGACGTCGAGCGTTCACATTATATTCAACCAGCCGTATTTTCCTTTAACTTTCGAAATGAAGATGGCAAAAAGATGTCCGTTAAAAAGCTTCCGGAAGATATTGAAATCCGACTTCCAAATAGGAAAGAGAACATCGTCCACAACCCTTTAAACAACTCTGCAGACAGCGAGGACTTTTTATTGTACAGTTTTAAGGTTGATGAGGATCATTACGAGGAAGTTATCATGATTGATATACGACATTCGAAGTCAGCAGATGAAGGAGCTACTTTTTATCTTAAATTTGGCGAGGAGGTAATTGCAATATTACTAATGCTAACTACTAAACTACAACCATTTTCAAAACTTGTTGGGACACCGTTGTGATTTTAGATCTTCAGTGGATCTATGTAAATATTACAAACATCCCCCAGCCCTCTCCTCCCCCATTCAATGTGTTTACCCGATCACTCGCCAAAGTAAGATGCCAACTGAGAACCAATATTGGATGGGGGGAGGGACAAAGTTTGTCAAAATAATATGTATAGTTGTGGCATCTGTACCAACACATTCAAAAATGATTGTACTACTGATAACCATGCGCAAAACGAGTCCACCATAAGCTCGAAGACGTACCATTTTTGACTAACTACCAAGGCTTTAAGATTCCGAACGAACTAACAGACTATAACAAACTTACACAGCGAATATAAGGAAGGATAAGTACAAATTCCCCATCAGATCATATTGTAAAATTTGTACCGGGCGTCTGATAAAAGTTTAACAATTTTTGATATTCTCCACACGAATAATGTGAAGAATATCCTGGAGCCAGAGGGTATTTATTTTCTAAACAAACCTCTGGGCCAGGGTATGTGAAGAATGGATTTATACATTTTTACTTTATACACTTTTAAGGTATCGCCCACGAACTATGATTGTAAAGATCCACTCTCTGTAAATATGACTTGTTTCGACGCCACTGTGCAAATACACCATAACGACCAAAGCAGTATTGTTTTCATACGAAATTCTGAGAAAGTGGAGTCAGTCAAGGGTGAAGTTTCTGTTGGTCTGTTGCTATGTCCATACGCTCACAATGAAAACAAACCGTCTACATGCAACCCCAGAAACCATACTTACGAAATTTTCGTACAAACGGTTTCGTGCCGGTATTGGAATCATTCTGAGTCTGAGTGGAGTAAAAATGGATGTAGGGTAAGCTGATGCTTTATTGGAAATTCTGCCCCCCCCCCCTGGTTAGAATTAGCCTTTCTCACGATGACGAATATCCGGCATCTAATTCTCGTTAGCCAATGCAGACAATTAAAACAATGTGAAAAGCAATTTTTCAAAATAAACCAACCATTTACAAAGTTACCATCATTCGTCCACAAAATTATAAAAAGTCGCTGTTATGTGGACTTATCTCACAGACTTCGGCTGAAAAGCCACCCAAAAATGGCGGCGTGAGAAAGGGTAATTGTAGTTCACCAAAGATCACAATAAAGTTTTATAGATTTTTTATATATATTCTCTCAATCACAGTATATAATCACTCACTTCTCGGTCTCCTACTATTACTTTTCCTTTTATCAGTTCTCTCTGCCTATTTACAGGCCTCACTCATCTAACTATATGCTTAAAGTGCACCTAACCTCAATTCCTTTTATCATCTCATTCTTAAGAACTTCTAAAATGATATAATAACGTATTTTGAAGATTTTCGTTTGCTCACTTTGTTTGGTGTGCAAATATCCGGAATTTACGTTACAAATGCATAATGACTTAAAGTAAAAGCTTGTATATCGTATTTACTATCGAGTTTAATTCATTAAAATGAAGTTTGTTTTATTTGTATTTGCAAAATAGTTTTTAATGTGTTAACATACTCTTGTAGGTTGGCAATAAGTCGACACCGTTGCACACAAGTTGTCTATGCAACCATCTGACCGCGTTTGGTTCTTACGTCGTGAAACCCAATCCTCTCAACAAGTTTTCTGCCGAAGATTTCCGAAATGGTTATGTTTGTTTTGTTGTGGTGGCCGTTATCTTTTGTTTTTATTTCTTATTTCTCGTATGGGCAAGAAAAGCAGATCGTTCGGACTGTTCTAAGGTAAAGTGAATGTTTTATTATGCTTCCGTAAATGCCCATTTACACTTTCGATTTGTAGTGCGAGTTTCGTCTTGTGATGTATGTGAACGAGTAGATGCGTTATGAATGGTCTGAGGATGCGAACCCTCGTCTGAACATTCATAACACATTCACTCCTTCACATCCATCAGAAGAAGAAAATCGCACCAAAAATTACTGGAAATATTTTGCATGTGTAATCTGCCCCACAATTCCTATATGATACATTAGGCTGGTATTCCAAAGGTCGTAGGTTCGATTCCCACCGTGGTCAGGCATATTTTTCAAGCTTGCCCGGTGTGAATATACACTCAGAGTAACATCACAAGCATCATATTCACCTGAGTACATTACACCAACAAAGGAAAAAAATAAGAAAAAAATCATGATACAGAATGTTTGTATGTCTCAATTCTATGCTTAAGTTCTTTCTGTGCCGTGGTGATCGTACGTTGCTTCACGTATACATCATTCCTATTAGGTTGGTGTTTGTGCCTTATCAGACAACGGGCCACAGGATCGATACCGTTACGAGGTCGCCATATGGACAGGCATGCGCAGAAATGCCGGCACTGGTTCCGAAGTAACCATCATTCTCTCTGGCGACAAAAACGACTCCGAACCACGGTGCTTGGTCAATCCGCAAAACCCTAGCTTTACCCGCGCTAGTCTGGAAAAATTCTTGCTCACTTCATCTAAGGTGGGTTGAGACATGGATAAATGGATGAGTACTGTAGATGAAAATTGTCAAGTGGAAATCGGCTCATTGGGCACACCGGATGCGATTCCACAACGCGGCGCGATTTTTCGATTTTCACTGACCGATAACTTTGATCCTGGTTCAAAGTTTTCAACTATTTAGAAGCGCTATAACATTTTGAGTTATTTGGTCTACATATCTTTTAAAATTTTCATTCATTGGCCGTTTTATTAACTTTCAAAAACTGAAAAATCGCGCCGCGTTGTCGAATTGCGTCTCGACCTTTAGTGTCTGCTTCTGGGTTCGACTGTAATAAATATTTTCATTTTAGGACATTGGCAGTTTGTACTGTATTCGTGTATGGCACGATAATAGCAAGGGTTCGTGGTTCTTGAGTCGAGTGATGGTCACTGATTTACAGAGAAACGAGAGGTTTTATTTCATTTGTGATCGCTGGCTTGCTGTTGACGAGGATGACGGACAGGTAAGATGAATAGCGTCGATAGTGACCCCCCACTCCCTCCTTCCACTTGTCGATGGTGCAATGCTCCCCCCTCCTGCATAAATGTTAATCCTGACCTGACCTGACCTAACCTTGGGGGTATTGTGACCCTCCCTTAGGGGGTGGTGGTGATTTGAAATTCGTCGCAATTTAGAATTTAAAATATTGATAACTTTCAGGTTGAAAGACTTCTGCCAGTTGCCAGCGACGAAGAGCTCGCTGACTTTCATCATTTATTCTACTCGAAGGCCAAACGAGGCCTCAGTGACTCTCATCTCTGGGTCTCCGTTCTTAATCGACCTCCACAAAGTATATTCACTCGAGTTCAAAGGCTGTCGTGCTGTTTATGTATTTTAATGACCACCATGGTCGCCAATGCTATGTTTTATGGGACTCGAAGTGAACCGAAAGCAGACACGACAAATTATGTTGGTTCCTATTCTTTCACTTGGGATGAGGTAAGCATAAAGGTTCTACTTGTTTTATCATGTCTTCTTTTGCACTGTCATACCATGCCATATGATACCATCCCATACCATACTATACTATATCATCATATCATCATATTATATCATTCATACCATACCATGCCATACTATATTATACCATACCATGCGATACCATGCCATGCCATACTATACTATACCTTATTTATAAGTAATAGCATGGCATTCAGGTCGATTAGTGATTAAATGTACCCGAAAGCCGAGAGAGGTTTAGTAAAAGTCCCGAGGCGCGTAGCGCCGAGGGACTTTTACTAAACCTCTCGAGGCTTGAGGGACATTTCATCACTAATCGACCATGATGCCATCTATTACTTTGTAATATCATAGTTGCCGAGGGAATCGCGCGTGGTGTGTTGCCTGTTTTGAATGCTGTTTGATTGTCTTATGATTGTGGTACGAACACTTTTCATATATACGCACGCGCAGAAACACATCTCCGTGTTCATTCGTTTTAGGCATGCGCATAAACGGAATTTTCTCCCACAATTGTAATGTTCAAGATTAGGGAATAAAAGCTGGCAAAGTGATTGTTCGAATGTGTACGGGACGGTGTCGTCAGATACTGTCCATAGTTGTGCCGATGATTTTCGATGAGGTACAGCTCTCCAATCAGAGGTAATGAGGTACGATTAGTAACTAATCTTACCTCATTACTAAACATGAGGTACGATTAGTAACTAATCTTACCTCATTACTAAACATGAGGTACGATTAGTTACTAATCGTACCTGTTTACTCAGGTTGAGGTAAATGCGACGTTAATCGTACCTCGTAAGACAAAAGATTTCGAGCATTTCGAAAGTGGAGGGGCATTGACCGAAAGGGGCACTTTTGTATATGACCAGAATCAAACGATTTTATGACGTTCACGAGCCGAACGAAAATTTTTGAAAATATGGAGTCTCTCTAACGTCGGAAATGGCCTTTACAGAGTCTTTACTACTGCGAAAAGGGCATTTTCTTTCCAGAAAAAGAGGGCGTTTATTCAAGAAATACTTTTTTCGTTTTTTAAATGGGGCATTTTAGCCTAGAAAAAAGGGCACTTTTTTCACTTTTAAGAAAAGTGGGGGGGCACATGCCCCCATTGCCCCCCCGGTTCCGCGGCCCCTGATGATATTACATACCATACCACATCTTAACTTACAAGGCATACCATACTGTACCAAACTATACCATGCCATTTTACACCATAGCAAATGACAAAAGTATAATACTATCTACACTGCATTCCACATTTATAATCCGTATAATTGTAAGCAGAACGTCGACCAATGAACGTCGGCGTTACGAGCGAAAGCCCTTCGAAGTTCTCCTTACATTTTTCTGTTCGTTGTACTGCAGCTGTTTATAATCTATCTGATTTTTGCGTAGGTGTACATCGGTGTTGTGAGCTCCTTAATCGTTGTTCCCGTCAATGTGATAATCCTAAATATCTTCCGTAATGTTCGCCCCAAGTCTCGCAAGACGCGTCCGCATTCTAAAGCATCATCCGTGACAAATCTCGACTCAGGTTACCGTAACTCCCGCGCGTCCTTTGAGACTCTGGTGGAATCTTCTGACCAAGAACCCCGAGAGAGTATAGCAGGCAATGCAGGGATGAATGTGTATTCTCGAATACGTTCTGCTGAACTCAAGAAAAAACGAGATGAAGAACTATCACGATGGGCGAGATTCAAGAGATGTATCATTCCTTCAAGTCTACCACACGGCTTCGTGTATGTTGGTTGGGCTATTCTCGTGATTGTTACCCTAGGTGAGGCAAACTTATTTGTTTATACTTCTATTTAACTCCAGCCTCCTCCGAAGGCAGATTATGGGGTTGGGTTTCGGGGGAAAAAAATTCTATTCACCCTAACCCTAGAATTTGAGATATCTGTAAAAGAGGCTGATTTAGCTCTCTGTTAGTTCTAAACTGTTTTCGTATGGAGGTACGGAAAGGGTCATCTCATTTTTATCCAGTGTTACTACAGGAGGAAACCTAAACGAACTTTATTTATACTGGATAGCTCTATCACATGTACTAACCACGTGTTTGTGTTTGTGTTTGTGTTTGTGTTTGTGTTTGTGTTTGTGTTTGTGTTTGTGTTTGTGTTTGTGTTTGTGTTTGTGTTTGTGTTTGTGTTTGTGTTTGTGTTTGTGTTTGTGTTTGTGTTTGTGTTTGAAAAGAGATTGTTTTTAAAGATTGTTTGACGAACATTTAATATCTCTCAAAGAGAGTTGCGTATAGCAGAAAGATGATAGTGTACTCTGCCTTGTTATTGTATTCTGTCCACCACCAGACGATTTTACTTGTCAAGGAGACAGTATTGATGGGTTAAATGAATAATTTTTAAAATATTATTACAGGTTCAGCGACGGTTGTAATATTGTATGGAATGCAGTTTGGAAATGGTCGTTCACTACAATGGCTTCTCTCGATCATGGTTTCAATTGTCGAAGACATTTTTATCCTTCAGCCTCTGAAAGTGCTGATGTTCGCGCTCGGCTTTGCTCTGCTTGTCAAAAAGCCGGACGAAGGCGAATTTGAGATGTTAGGTGATTATGATGATGATGAGGTACAACAGGGGGATATTTTGGGATCGCCAATCCCTGAAAAAAGAGTTCCCGCATCACCTAGGTTAGTATATATCACTGTTCCCTATGGCTAGGACTGGATAGTGCATCTTTTACCAACTCAGTTTCAGCAGGTATAAAATAGAAGTTATTTTGACGAATGGGTGCATTAGAAAAACATCATACATTATTCACGTCACTTCTCATCGGGGCATTTCAGTGACCGCTTACATCGAGTACTGCATTACGCTTATTTATATTACTTACGACTATTTATCTTTACAACAATGGACCTTTCCCCTTATAACTAAAATTTTGATCTAGACAAAAATTTCATCACAGCTTGAAAGAGCATCACACAATTAGTAATATTCCAAAGTTTCGTTGCGAAATGTTATAAAATGCGGATAATATAGCCTTGCGAAGTTTGCCGTTTTTCAGTCATTTTGTATTACGCATGGGAAATTGACAGCCCAATCGGGTGTTGGAGCATCAATTCCCGTTTGTAATACAAAATTACTGAAAATTGCAAATTTCGAAAGGCTATATTATCCGCAATTTACAACATTTCGCAACGAAACTTCGGCGGAATATTACTAATTTTGTGATGCTCTTTCAAGCTGTGATGAAATATTTTACCACCGAAACCACTGTATTTTTCTTTTTTCGGACTTTCAAGTTTTATTTTGCATTTCATTTGCCATGCATGTATGATGACCTGGGCTGTCCATGTCTTTTTCTAGGTTGCCCGTGCGACCCACAGAAGAACAATTAGCAGTCATGCGCAAAGCAAGGATGAAGGAAAGGAAGATGTTTTTCCTTATTCAAGAAATTATAGTTCACTTGATATTCATGATCGTAATAGCGCTGGTCACATACGGGCACAAGGATACCAGATCTGTCCATATGTTTCGACATATTGACGAACTTAGTAAAATGACAGACAAGGTTCGCACGTAGGCCTTTAAGCTTAATAAACTAACTAGCTCTATCAGATCAAGACCAGAACTTATTCATCCAGTATTACTACAGGAGGAAACCTAAACTAAACTAACTTTATTTATACTGGATAGGTCTATCAGTTCTAAACTGTTCTTCCTAGAGGTCCAGTAAGGATTGATCCAGTATTACTACAGGAGGAAACCTAAACTAAACTAACTTTATTTATGTTGGATAGCTCTATCTATTCTAAACTGTTCTTCCTAGAGGTCCAGTAAGGATCATCTCTTATTGATCCATTGTTACTACAGGAGGAAACCTAAACTAAACTAACTTTATTTATATTGGATAGCTCTATCAGTTTTAAACTGTTCTCTCTAGAGGTCCAGTAAGAGCCATCTCTTATTGATCCAGTGTTACTACAGGAGGAAACCTAAACTAAACTAACTTTATTTACTGGATAGCTCTACCAGTTCTAAACTGTTCTTCTTAGAGGTCCAGTAAGGATCATCTCTTATTTGATCCAGTGTTACTACAGGAGGAAACATAAACTAAACTAACTTTACTTATACTGGATAACTCTGTCAGTTACAAACTGTTCTTCCTAGAGGTCCAGTAAGAATCATCTCTTATTGATCCAGTGTTACTACAGGAGGAAACCTAAACTAAACTAACTTTATACTGGATAGCTCTATCGGCACTAAACTGGTTCTTCCTTCGTCTTTTCGTTTCTAGATTACTAATTTCACACATTTCTGGAACTGGTCACGAATTGTGTTAGTACCGAAAGCGTTCCCTGAGAAACTCTACAATGGTCGGTACGTGCCCAGTTATGGCTTCTTTGACGATGGTTATAACAATCTCATCTCAAAAGCAAGAATGAGACTTTTGAGAGTAAACAATGGTATGTAACATATTATGTATGGGTTATAGCGTTTTTGGATACTGTACCATACAGATACCAAACCATAGCATACCTCACCATACGGTACCTCACCTTATCTCACCTCGCCTTACTTCATCTAAATGATATGCCATACCATACCATACCATGCCATACGTTACCATGCCATACGTTACCATACCACACCATACCATACCATACGTAAGTTGTTACCATACCATACCATACGTTACCATACCATACCATACGTTACCATTACATACGTTACCATACTATACTATACCATACCATACGTTACCTCACCTTATCTCACATTACCATAACATACGTTACCATACTATACTGTACCATACCATACCATACCATACGTTGCCATACCATACTATACCATACGTTACCATACCATACCATACGTTACAATGCCATGCGTTACCATACTATACCATACCATACTATACCATACTATACCATACTATACCATGTCATACTATACCATACTATACCATACCATACCATACCATACCATACCATACCATACCATACGTTACCATATCATACCATACCATACTCCACCATACCATGCTTTACCGTACTTCACCTTATGATACCATACCGGACCGGACGTTACCATACTATACCATACTATACCATACCATACCATACCATACTATACCATACTATACCATACCATACCATACCATACCATACCATACCGTACCATACCATACGTTACCATACCATACCATACCATACCATACCATACCATACCATACCATACCATACCATACTCCACCATACCATGCTTTACCGTACTTCACCTTATGATACCATACCGGACCGGACGTTACCATACCATACCATACTATACCATACCATACCATAGCATACTATACCGTTCTCTACCATACCATGCCATATGTTAATCATATTATACCATACCTTACCGTACTTCACCTTATGATACCATACAGGACCGGACGTTACCATACTATACCATACCTCACATAATTCAATCTCGACGCAAGACAATCTCGACTTGCAGAACGCTTTTGTAAACAATAAGTAAATTTATCAAAAACATTCCAGTATATGAGATAAAAAAATTTCCTGCGAAGATATTTTGTCAAAAATTTCCTGACAGCAGTGCAGACATTTTCCAGCAATATGTTCCACGATCATGATTTTGCCCACTGTTCTTCATACCATCTAGTCAAGACACTCGTGGTTTTAGATATATCCGCGCATTTATGTGAACTGCCTAATCAATGTATTCATGCACATACAACAATATTTTTTCGTTGAAGACAATTGCATGGTGGCAGACGAATTCAAAGGTAAAATAGGCGAGTGTCTTAAAGATTACTCCATCTTCAATCAAGACGAAGTGTGTTACCATTCCAACTGGACCGGTGTTGTGAAAGGCCAGGAAAAGGATCGTTGGTGTTTTCAAGACTGGAAAGATCTAGATGGTTATCCAACCTTGGGTATTTTTAACTCATACAGTGGTAGTGGTTACATCAAAGAGTTACGACCAGGTAAACTAACTATGAAAACAACATCTCCAACAACATCTCCTTTTTTTTAAAGTACTAAAAATTGACGTAAATAACAGTAACAATCTAACTGTAGTATTCTTAATATGTAAACTCAGACGTTTGCTTTGAGTATTGAAATAAAGACTCTTATTGTTATTATTATTTTAACCGAGGGTTAGCATTAACCCACCTTTAAACAACCGGCCCCAGGAGGTTTAGGGTGTGGTGAAAGCCTTTGGCGTACGAAGCAGGGGTGGCTGGGGGCTGGAGGCAGGGTTTTATCAGGCAGATTCTACTTGAAAGTTCGCCTCGGTATAGTCACAGAATAGAAAGTTATACCAGAAGCGTAACTTGAGCAAATATTTGTCCGCGTTTTTACAAGCGATTCGTCATCAATCACGCCATCCTGGCTAGTACAACCGGCACTTTGTACCTACCAAATCCTGATAAAAACTTCCGGCTGTACTAGCCAGGATGGCGTGGCCTGACGTGAGCGAGTTAAAATTTTCGTGGACGTCAAACAATAAGGGAAACGACTAGAGTTACGCTTCTGGTATAACTTCCTATTCTGTAGTATAGTGTAGTTTGTCATGATATTAATGTTGAGATATTAATGTTTAGTTAGAAAAACTGAATGACAAATTGAAATTTATTTCATATAGTGTAAACAAGGTCTTAAACGTTGTGCATTTTTTCTCTGTTAGGAGATGACAACAATGCAACTGTCAACGAACTGGAATCAACTCATTGGCTGGACAAACAGTCCCGAGCTCTGTTCGTGGAAATGACTATATACAATGCTAACGTTAATCTTTACACATCAATAACTCTTCTCTTTGAGTTTCCAGAATTTGGAGGAATTTTCTACTTCCGAAACATAATCCCCATGCGCCTCAAATTGTATGTTGGCGGTTTCGCGTTTTTCATCTTCGCTTGTGAGATGGCTTTCGCGTTGTTCGTCCTGGGCTACTCTTACGTGGCATTGAAGAAATTATATCATCACAAAATGGCGTACTTTAAGAACTTTTGGAATATCATGGATTTTTCTATTTTGATGAGTTCGTTCGCCGCTATTAGTGTCTATGTTTATCGTTTGGGTATTACGACAAAATTAATGCGAGCAGTTCAAGATCGTGATGGCGAGTTCGTGAATTTTCAGTACGTCACGTATTGGAATGAGGTATGGTCACTGACCTTGAAATATTACTGGATTGAGAGCACGAATGAAAACCCGTGAGCTACAATCTTGGACACAACTGGATGAGACTAGCTTTCCCCTTATACAAAATTCTCATACCCCTTATGATAAAGTCCATGTTGAATCGTGTTGAGCTGCTTACACCCGCGCTCCCCCAACTCAATGTTGAGCTTTGTATCATGGTAAATTACCAAAAGTTGTTTCGGCGTTGTTTACAACATTAGAGACCTTACGATTTTAGGACGGCAACGCGACGACGACGACCAAAACAAACTCCTTCAAATAAATGGTAGTAAAGATAATTCGTCGTATATTATCAATCGTATGAATTTAATACAGTCTTGGAAGTTTAAGACATGGGTTTTATGGTTGGGAAGAGTTCTGCTAAACCCAGTTTGAAGTTGCACTTGTTGTGGCTTGAAATGCAGCCATTGTATCAAGACGTGAAAATCTGTGATTTGGCGTTGTAAACAGAGCGAGGATAATGTCTAAATTATTCATATATTGTAATTTTTCAATTCTTTTCAATGATTTATTGTATTGGTAGCCGTTGCCGTCGCGTTGCCGTCCTAAAATCGTAAGGTCTCTAATGAACTGGAGGAGAGGGTGACGAAGTTTGCGTTGTCAATTTGCGCTAACTTTGCAATATTGGTTGGAATGGTCTCAAGGGTTTTGTCCAAGATTATAGTGCACTCTATATATGTCTGGAGTGAGAACTCCGTCCTTTGTGTCCTGCTTGTGAATTATTAACAATCTTACCTAAACCCTAACCGTAAACCCTAACCAAAAAATAAGTTGTTTTTATTCCACTAGATATTGAGTTATATTATGGCGCTGGTGGTTTCCTTGACAACAGTGAAGCTGACGAAACTGATGCGTTTTAATCTGCGTGTCTCGTTATTTGGTAAAACCCTCCAAGATGCGAAGCCTGCGTTGGCCGGGTTTAGCATCCAATTCGGAATCGTGTTTTTCGCTTACGTGATGGTAGGCGTGCTGGTATTTGGTTATAACGTGTCGCAGTTCAAGTCGATCGTGTCAGCGATGATGGCACTTGGCCGCGTGATCCTGGGCAAGAGTCAGTTTATTGAACTGTTCTCGGCAGACCCCATAATTGGTCCATTGTTTTTCTTCACGTATGTCACGTTTGTGTGTTGGATTTTGGTCACAATGGTCGTCGCAATTCTCACAGATTCGTACCACGAGGTCCAAGACAGATGTTTCGGCATGAGCAACGAGTACGAGATGGTTGATTTCATTCTTGCAAGGCTCCGCGCCTGGTCTGGCTTTGGCGGCAAGAAAAAGGTGTGTACAGTATCTTTTGAGATGGTGGTAGCATGGCCAGATTTGGGGGGGGGGGAGGGTGAACGGTGCACCTCAAGTCCTCCCCTGTGATATTTGCACCTCCCTTTGAAATGGATCAAATGGTGGATCAGAGTGTCCTCATATCACCTTCAATTACCCTCTCATTTTCAATTATTTATTTTTTCCCAACAGAGTCGGATTCCCGCAAATCAAAGATGGCGTAAAGCTGGAATAAAAGCCAAAGCGGCAGCAACCCTTGGACGTCACCGCTCCTACAAACAAAGCGCTGAAAATATCGCGTTTGAGAAAACAGGAGATCTTATGGAGAGGTTTGAGGATAGTATCAAATCTCTTGAGAAAAAAGTCAACAAGTTGTGCGTAGGAGTTCAGTAGAGAATTCTGAACTGTACTGCATATATAGACTGTAGTTAATGAGTTGATGAACTCATTCTCAGGTTTTTAAGATATTTGAAAATTGAATTGTTGTAGTAGCACTTTATAAGTGACAGAAACAAACACCGCACGGAGGGAAAGTTCCTTCTACATTTTTGTGTCGTTGTGAGGAAATAAAATAGTGTTTATTTAGAATTTATGAGGAAATATTTAAAAGGAACTTTCTATTTGTAAATAGTGGAAGAAAGTAATTCGATGGGTTCTTTGTAGCAATAGTGCCCAGGTATTGGAATGTTTCATTGTCGTTTCATTGTTTTGAAAATTTCACTGTTCTCCATTGGCAAGTACTGACAATTTGGAGGCTTAGCCTACCCAGAGAGAACGGCTTAGCCTACCCAGAGATAACGGCTTAACCTACCCAGAGATAACGGCTTAACCTACCCAGAGATAACGGCTTAACCTACCCAGAGAGAACGGCTTAGCCTACCCAGAGATAACGGCTTAGCCTACCCAGAGATAACGGCTTAGCCTACCCAGAGATAACGGCTTAACCTACCCAGAGATAACGGCTTAGCCTACCCAGAGATAACGGCTTAACCTACCCAGAGAGAACGGCTTAGCCTACCCAGAGAGAACGGGTAGTAGAGTAGACACTCGGTCATCATTCAATGCACTTTAGTTCATTACAGATTACATCTCATGAAAAATACATGCAGATCAGTACATGTTGTATATTTGTTGTGTTTATAATTTGAGTAGAACTAAAATAGCACTTTCATTATGTTATTTTTGCCAAGTGACGGGGTGAATGGGCGAGTGGCGATCTAGTGGTCTTTTCATTGTTTTGAAAACTCCACTGTTCGCCATGCCACATAGGCGCTCCTTAGTAGACGTTCTTATGACTACGAAGGAAACTACATGCCATCAAGTTCGTCATTGTTTTGACTTAAGACCCATTTCCACTCGGGAAAATTTTCCGCAGAAAGAAAATTTTGTAAAATATGATTGGCCGACACAAAATTTTTCGTGGGAAAAAAATTCTGAAGTTGAAAATTTTCAACTTTTAACAATGATATTTTTGGAAAATTTTGTATCCGTGGAAATTTTTCTTGAGCGGAAATGGTCCTTAATATTTAGACAAGCATGACCAGTAATACTTCTCCCGCAAGAATTTGAATGGAAAATCAGCCACATGCCAACCCCCCGCAACTTGCAATGCACTAAAAAGAAGTCGCGGGGAAATTGTGAGCTACTGTTTACTCTGCAAACATTTTTCATTCCATTTCTTTCATTCTTCATTCCTTAAATAAAGAAAGTGTTGGCAGAGTGGAATGCAGGTCCGGACCCTCTTTTCTTCAGAACCATTCTTCCGGGGGGGGGGGTAATCTCGTCTATAACATGGTTCTGTTTCCGAAATCACGTTACAAGTTTAAGCAAAAATTACTTTGTGTAACATTACCCTAAAGTTGCTAAAATTTATTTAGGCATTAATATTTTCACGATTCTCAGTCCCGCTCAAATATTACTAATGCCAGAAAAATGCACAAACGTTGCTGCCTATGGTTTGTTAAATTTACAGTTAATGAAAAGCTCTTTTAACAAAATTGAAAAATGGTACAAGAAATTGATCGTTTAAAGTTATGCATAATCCTCTGTGGGTTGCTTGTGTGTTTTGTGTTGTTTTCAAAATAATCAAGTACACCTTTTTACAAAAATGGTAATGGTACAATACATTGAACATATAATACATGGTCATTACTGTGCTAGTTTTTTTATTCTTTATGTACAACTGGTTTCATATCTGAATTTCACGAAGCACTCTCGTTCAGCAGATGATGGTCAACCTGCAGTTATCAGAGTGAGAAAATGTTCATTCTTTTCATTAAATGTAGATTGTATAAATAGTCTTGAATTTGGTGACATCAAAATGGAATTGGTATGTAAACATCCCTGCTACTATAAATGTCAACATTTCTGATTAACCACCATCTGCGAATATAAAATAAATATCGAACAAGTTTCTATCTAATTGTACTATACATCGCAAATTCGACAGTTGTGTAATTGGGCATTTTCTGTGAAATCAACTCGTTTGGCGGCGCGTGTAGCTTAATCTGTCTCATATGCGTATCTCGTCCATTCTGATGGTTCGTTAGGACCGCAATTTGAATCATAAAAGTCTTTAACGGTTTTTCAGTGCATCCCCCAACTGGCACAACAAGCCAACCGCTCGGTTCGTCCAATTCGACAATATCTATTTGCTTCAAGCTATCCAAACTGTTCCCAGCTCTGATGGAAATCTTACTAGGCGTGTAGCTCTCGTCCGATTTGTAATCTACAAATATACACACGTTTTGCACCAGTGTTTTTCGTCGAAATTTAACATTCACGAGGTGAGGTTGTGGCCCATCACTTTGCCAATAAGTATCGAGGTTTCCGTCTCGTAATTGCTCCACGCCGAAGCCCGGCTTGCAGGAGGATAAAGACCAGATAGCTTGGTGTCCTATTTCTCGAAGTTTTTCGTTTAATGTCGGCTGAAGAATCACTTTTGATTCATTCTCGACAACTGCTGTTACTGCTCCTTCGGCGGCCATATTGGATTTTTACTGGTTCGTTCTCAGTCTTCTGGCCGAGCGCTAATTCGGGATCAAGGTCACAAAAATCACATTTAAAAATCACAAAACACATTTAGAAATCACAAAAATTGGAAATTCCGATTTCCGAATCATAACATAAAACTGGATTTCCTGTTTTCATCCTTATTTATTTATCCTTATCTGGCGTTTGAAATAGACTATTATTATTTTTTTATTCGCCCTAATTACATTAATATATATACAAATAAATCATATAATAGAAACTATTTACATAGGGCTAGGAACCTTCTAGAAACATTTATAAGGCTAAAGGCTTTTATTTAAGGTCCCTAGTTTTAGGTCCTTATTATTAAGCCCCAATGGTTGGAATCTAATAGTTTCCTGCCATTATCTTGGCAATTCATTATATTTTCTAAAACATCTGAATAACATTTCAATGGACATTTCATTGTTTTGTTTGATGTAAAAGAATATTTTCAAACAATTTTCCCACGATTTCCAGACGCCATTTTGAAATTTGAAGACATTCGTCAACACTTCATGTAACAAATGGTTTTTGTGACTTGTGAATTCATAGCTTCCACATGCAAGGAAATTCCTGGCTAAAGGAAATATTGGGCTGTGGCTGGTCTGGCAAGAAAAAATGGCAGGAAATTCCAACCATTGGGGCTTAATAATAGTGATAATAGTCAAGTGATAATAGTCTATTTCAATTTTCAAACGCCTTAGTTATCAGATAACCTACAGCACATCACGCTCTAATATACATACAAACTGACACATAATTAACACCCCACAAAACATGCACGCTATCAAACCACATGACGTAATCTAATCAGAAAAACTGACTTAAAACCGGCCTTCAGGGCCCCAACACTCATTCTTGCATAAGCAAAAAGCAAACACACATAAGAAGGGCTACCTAGTCAAATTTAAAAACAAAAATATGGCTGGCAGATGTGGATTACCACCGAACAAATCATTCAGTAAGTTTGTTAGATTAAAGTTGTTACATTATTATGATAATTATTATTTTTCCCTCTTTTTTCGTTATTCTGTTGCTTTTCATAAATCTTTTCATTGTTTTATCATTTCCTATTATGTTGACTATTCACTACTTCTCCACCACTCCGCTTATGCCATATCCCAAATCATTTTGAACAACACCACGTTCATTACCATTCCTCTCGTCAACAACCAACAAAACATCAACTCCCATCCCTAAAAGCCCCTCCTGATGAAGGTCGTGAGACCGAAACGCGTCGAGGGCAAATGAAAAAGCACAAATGAAAAAGCACAATTAACACAACTATATATACTGTATCTTCCATATGATATATACTATCCGCTAACATACTTCACAAGCACGGTCAACCCAAGACTCTGTGAGGTTTGCTATAGCCCCAATACACAGTCACGTCACTATTCAATGTTTCATTAAAAATCACAACATCTCTCTAATACCATCCATCTATCTCCCTGATGTTATATTTTATTTTTTGTTGAACCAATGGATGGTTTTTCCAAAGCCATTTTACATGCCGTTCGACCCATGTTCGCCTTTCTTTACAGTCATTTCTAATGATATTGACCCAATATCATACCACGTTGAAACGCGAAACTGGCTCGAACTGCTTTGGACATTAATCAATCCTTATTATATATATATTATTTAAAAGTACTAATCCATATAGTATATACTACGTAATGACTGCCATACTGTGCAGTCAAAATTTTTTTTGCCAGACCCTGGGCACCACGTTTTTTGTGTTTTGTAAAACATATGGGATTATATTAGTCTAGGGCATCTAATTAGGTTTACCCATTTGGCATAACTAAATGTTCTGCCCGATTCTATAAGCCGCAATTTTGGTAGATTGTACAACATCTACCTATTCTACCTATCAATAGTTAGAGACATCACACAAACCATAGGCTTCATTAATTACATATTTCACGGCATGGTTTGCCTTCAAGACCCTGTGAGTATGTACACAATCTAACTGCATGTATATACTTAAATACTAAGTAATAAACCTACAATCCTCACACAGACTTAACTACATGTGATGGACAGATTACGGAAACAGTACACAGTATAAAGCAAGGATTAAGTTTACAACTTCTCAATGCATGGTCTACTTTCCAGACCCTGATAAGATAAATTTAAGAAAACCATTTATTGAAACGAGATACAGGAAAATTACACAACACAAAATCACAAGTCTTGTTACCAATTCTAAATTTGTAATATCGCAGTATGGTCAAATCCGACCCTGTGATAAATTCATGTGCATCATCAAATTACACCTATCAATTACCAAGTAATAACTAATAACTTTACATACAGTACATGCTAACTTCAATTACGACATTTCTACAATGGATTTACATAAAAAGACACAAAACAACGCACGCATAATACGCGTGCACCTTTTATACAATATTTTGCGGCATGGTCTACTTTCAAGACCCCGTTGAATATAAAAGAAATCCATTAGATAAATAATGATTACAAGCAAACAGGTCCAAGACGGATGTAGAGGTCCTATTACCTATTCCAAAATTAAAATATGGCCAGTTTTACGAAGTGGAAGCACTTGTTATGATTCGGAATTTCCAATTTCTAAATGTGTTTTGTGATTCCAAATGTGTTTTGTGATTCCAAATGTGTTTTGTGATTTCCAAATGTGTTTTGTGATTCCAAATGTGTTTTGTGTTTTTAAATGTGTCACAAAAAAAGAAAATTGTGTGATAAAATGGTTAATTGTGTTTCATGTTTTGGGTAAAAATGTATCAAAATAGTGTAAAAATGATAAAGAAACGTAATTTTTGTTTTGCTTTGTTTGTTTTGTGTTTTGCACTTCTGGGCCACCTTTGGCCACCGTACAATTGCCCTGACCGCGCGATATAAACACTGAAACCGGAGGCCTGGGTCCCGGAGCACACACCACTTCAATCTCGTTCCCTGAGGTCCTTGACACCACCTGCATTGGAGATTGGACTGTGGGACGCGCTTCACAAATTTCAATTATATCAACAGTAGTTTTGTGACGCCAATTTTTTTACAACGAAAGTAATAGCCTTTATCTATGCCTTTAGGCTAAAACAAGGACGAGCAGCATTCACCTCGAATGCTTTGCCGTATTACAGGCAGGTTTAACATGGGTTTAACAGACAATGAAACCATTTTGAATCTCGATATAGCTACTTGAATGCGAAAAATATAGGAAAATGAAAAAGAACCATTGAACTTTACTATATTCGTTCATTTTGTTGGTGTAACATCACGAAACCGATTACGACACATGTCTCGACCTGTCCATTTTTTTCATTGATTTTTTGCAAGGGTTTGTATTCGAGTATATTCTTAATTGCTTTTGAGTTCATCCACATTGTTTTACTTTATTTGATAATTTTATTTTGTCTAAGGGTCTTTGAAAATGGTTTCCGAAAAGGGAACCGAAATGTCAGACAAAATAAAACTATTAGATAAACGTAAATTAGAACAATCTGGATGACCTCAAAAGCTACTGAGTTTTTAATTAACTATCCTTGACCTCAGTTCAAACGTCGCGCTTACAAGTGCGGAACCTTTATATTCGAAGTGGCGAAGGGCTCATAAATGCTTCGACAAAGACAGTCTTGGGGGTTGAACACGAGTATTAAATATTGAATACTAGGTTTTGAAGTGGTGTGAATATGAATATTGGTAGTAGGAAACATTCACTGACCAAAAATGATTTGTTTGGACGAGGAAAATAGCAAGCTTTTATAATATGCAAACATATTTTACGACACGTGTTATAAATTAGGAATTTGAATTATAAGTGTTACATATAAGATAAAATAAAGTAATTTGCGCAGGCAAAGTTTGTTTGATAATTTGATGTATTGTTTCGGAAATGGCTTTGAATTACAGGTAGGAATATGAATATTGATGCTAGGAACTGGGCCTGAGTGAATATGAATATTTGAGACAAAAATTGGAATGAACATCCGACCGCCCCCGTCGACAGTTTGTAGGAGTTTTGAAGGTCCGGAACTTTAGAGGGACAGGTGGAATATTAATTAAATACTTTTAAAAGGAGAAATATTTCTTCTTTCGCTCGACACGGCGAGATGCCAATTCAAACGCCAAACTTATTACTTTGAACGGTAGAAAGCTTCGGATTAATAGGGATACAACTACCTGAAAAATACAAGGAGAATTTCGACGTTTCGAGCGAAGGCCCTTGGTCGGAAGTTAGTACGTGATCACAGAATAAGGAATAGAACTTATTCTGTGACGTGACCTTTTCAGTTAATGAAGGATTGAAGAAGTTTTTACTGATCACTTCCGGACGAAAGGCGTTCGCTCGAAACGTCGCATTTCTCTTGTATCTCTATTACTCTACCAATCTGAAGCAAACTTATTATGTGTTGAATCATCCCATTTGAACTTCTCATCCCAAACCATTCTGACCCATGCATCCAACAATCAAGGTTCTGCCAACTGAGCTACTAGATCAATTTCCACCGCTTTGCCGGCTTTCTTTGGATTCGATTCTAACCGCAGCCAAGCAAAATTTTCAGCTTGCCCGGTGCGGACAAACTTAGAGAGAATCATATATATATATATATATATATATATATATATATATATATATATATATATATATATATATATATATATATATATATATATATATATATATATACGCCTGAATAAATAACACCACAATCCCGATCATCCCACATTGTTAAATACATCAATAGACATTAGTCAATACTGTATCGGGTCTATTTGAACATTGTGTTTTGCGGCCTCATCTTGGAACAGTAGTGCTTGACTTTTTTTCAAAATTCATCCAGCATTGTTCAGCATTAACCAAGAATGTTGAACGATGATGGCCTGGTTCAAGCGGAACTTTTATGAAAAATATAAAACACAAAAATAAGTCTGACGTTTCGTTCATCGCCTACGCGCGTGTCGCGTAGCTACCGGTGTATATCACACGCGTTTATTCCCGTTCTAATTATAGCAGGGAATTGTTTAACCACAGGCGGCTTCGAAGAGGAATATCGCTTCATATGTACTAAACTCATCTGTCAACAAGCAAAGAATATGAAGGATTATATATCCTATGAAATGGGATAAAGAAAGAATCCTCGCGGTTTAATGAAAAGCAAACAAAATTATGGACGTTGTCGATATAGTAAGTTAAATATTCTTGTCAAACGTGATGTCATTTTTAGTTGTAAATTTTGGCGTGAATTCAAGCTGTCAAAAGCCGAACGCTGGGCTTTTAATGTGAAACGGTCTAGTTAATACACTACGGTATATCACATAGTATTCAGTTTAATAATTAACAGAAATTTAAGCTGACAGTCCTTGGTACAGTAAAAAGCTCAAATAATAGAATCTGTAGTTTTGGAACATGTGATATTTCGATTCGACAAAGATAATTTCAAACAAATTGTGCACAATATGGGGTTCCAATCTTCAAAGTTGCTTGTAGCTTTTCTGTTTGGTGTGTTCGTTTTCGAAATCAAATCGTAATAACATATTTACAGAATCTGTTTGGCAAATTTTCAATGTTATTATTTTGAACATGGCTTTGGAAGTCGTTGTTTTACGTTGAGAGTATATCGTAAATTGCACAAATTTGATAAATGAGATGTCACAATTTTAAATATAATCGAAGAATTTCGCTACCCTGCTAGTTAGGTATTAATAAATGTGGTTAATGTTTGAAAGGACACAAAAATGGCCTACATGTGGAGGAAATATTATAGTTTCAAGTAAATACTCGTTTGTATGGCTTTATTTGCGTACGAAATTTGAGCTGGTGAATTCATTGTGTTAGTATATAATAGTTGGACGACAAAATTATATGAATTCTTTTGCTTTGTTTTGAATGTTGAAATTGGCTCCCATCACAGCACGTCTGTGCGAACTTTGTGAAATCAAATACTCTGTTCAAAAAATCGTAATTCCCATATTTATTGTATTCAAAAAGCATATATATCAAAGCTATTTTGCTCAGATTGAAACTGGCGAACTTAGGTAAGTTTTTGTGGGGAAAAAGTTTAGTTTCATTTGGCTATTTTCTTTGCTTTGTCATTAATTCACACGTTAAAGTGATCCATCTTTTTGTATTATGCACGCTTCGCTTGATGGTCAATAGCTCTGAAATATTTGTCTGACAATTTCCTGTCAGACAAGTGCTGATACTTAATTCTGAAGTTTTATTTAGCAATATAGTGCTTATTCTTTGTTCCTGTGTTTGAAAAAGTTTTTATTGTTTATAAACTGTTTTGATTATTAAATGATGGTTAATGATTAACTTTAGAATGTTGTTATTTTATTTATTATTTTATTAAAGAAAATGTTTTCTTGTTACTCTCCTATTTAATACTTACAATTTTGACCTACTGTACTGTGTATTATTTTACTCTGTCTAACACCAGACAATTTTTGCCACTCAATGGTTTAACCCATTAATGCACAAGACTAATCTCCCCTTGACAAGTGAAATCGTCTGACGTTAGACTGAGTAAAATATTAAAATAGGGCATGTTAGGGTACAATACATACATTGTGGCTTAATTAATTGGTAAGAGTAATCTAGCATATCCACTGTGCCATAGAAATTTATGTATATTTTATAAATTAAGGGATAAGACTAGTGAATACTAAATAAACAATGGGCTATTTTATGAGAAGACTTTAGTAAGTAAAATATTTATTATCCAGTATCTGCGTATATCGTTTTCTGCTTACCAGTATCTAACTTATCCCTAGCCATTGGGGCACATGAACTAACTGCATTACTCATAATACATCATTAAGTGGCAATGCACTCTACTTTATTATTTTACTCTGTCTAACACCAGATGATTTTACTCATGAGGGGGAGAGTGCTGCCACTCAATGGGTTAATCAGCCTATCTGCCCACGCACCCTGTTAATCTTTACTGGCAATGCACCCTACTTTATTATTTTATCCTGTCTAATGCCAAACAATTTTACTGGTCAGGGGAAGAGTGTTGCAGATGACTGGTCAGGGGAATGGGTTAATATGTGTTTGATTATGGTTATAGGGTTCAGCAGTATGGGTGGATGTGAACATGGGTTACCTGTTGCCTGGTACTGTCGTATCAGTGCTTGGATCACACGTGAAGGTTCGCCTGGATGACAATAGAGAGGTACGCCAATATTCAGCACATTTCCTGGGCTAGTGGGAGGTCTGCTTAATTATACAATTTTCCTTTGAATAATTTATTTAATGGGAAATTCATTTTGAAAAGCTTTCAATCCATACTATAAACCCATTACCCATATAATACATTGGTGTATTATTTACACTATTATATGCAGTATGTATAAACATACTGTTATGTGTCAATGCACTTCCCTTCCAAAGCATTCCAGATCCCCTTGGAAAATTTGTTTACCTTAACTTGCAATTTTTGCCATGATTCTACAGTACTGTGCAATTTTCTTCTGATGGATATATGAATGAGTGATGAATGTTTGTTCCCATGCATCAGCTAGAAGACGAAAATTGCACTAGCAGTCACAGCAAAAGTTGCAAGTGTAAACAGGCTTTAATAAAGTATGATTTAAATAGAGAATAATACATGGGTGCGCGGGAATACCAGATTTATTTCGAGTGTTGAACATGATATCTCACGAGTGAGCGCAGCGAACGAGTGAGATATCATGTTCAACACAAGAAATAAATTTGGTATTTCCAAGCAACCATGTATTTTTTTGTTTATTATATAAACAAAATTCAGTGAAAAAAATAAAACGTCCATGGCAATGCGTTTTACAACAAATGATATTTTCACACATAAAAATATCGTATTTTTTATGTGTGTTTAAATACGATTTTTCTCAGTGTCCAAAAACTCTATATAACACTTATGTTTATATAATAAATATGTTTATTACATTGGGATTTAAATTGTATCAAAATTCACATTGTCAGGTGTACACCGTGCACTCTCACCTTGTCAGGCCATTGATCAACAGTGGACCAAATGGATATGAAGATATGATTAAGATGGAGTATGTAATACTGGATGTTGTTTTATAATATATCAATACTATTCTTCCACCCTTGGAGCACTTAAGCTGTCATGGCTCTTTAAAAGCTTTTAAGGGATCATAAGTAACTGATAGGGACTCAAACTTAAACTTGAAGTTATTCTGCCAGCCCCACCAAGAGTCACAGAAATATTTTAGAAGAATAGTAGAATAAAATTTTCCTAGGAAGTTAGTAGTATGACATGATTTAAAAGAACAGAACAATTTGCTATTAGATTGAGCTTAAGCAAGTGATGTTTTTGACAACACAGAGTCACATGTACATAATTTAACCTTTAATTATGGCAACAACAGTTCATGCTTGAAATCAAGAATGTCAGTCAATGTAGTTTCACATTTGTGATTTTAAACAAGAGCGGCTGTTGCCATCTATTTAATATGTTTCAATAACTTGCAGTCAGTGTTTGTGAATCAAAAACATGGCTTGCCTGCACTCTTTACTGTACGTATTAGAAGCCGCGGCTTCTTCAAGAGCATTGAACTTGACAATATATCCTACAGTAGCCAAATGTTGAAGTGGGGAGGGACCCAACTTGAAAATCTAAAGTACAGGTTTGAGATTGATGCAGGTTGATGTGATACTCAAGATGGGGTTTGCCTATTTTCATGTTGTTTTAGACAATAAAACCATAAACCAAACGCACATTCCACTCCCTCATGATAGCCTTACTCCCCTCCCCCTAAAAAAAGAGTGAAGCTTTGACATGCAAAATTCTATACTCTAAACTACAAATGACTAATTTCTTTCCAGTGATTTGCATGAAGGTTCTATTTTGTTTAACATGAAGAAAAGATACAGAAATGGCTTGATTTATGTAAGTATGGAGGTTCTTGATGGGGTTACATGCATGACTGTTTTTTACTGAACTTTTACCATGGTGTTACATGACAGCTAGAGGCAATTTTTCTTGCAACATGCAACACGATTTCAGAAACAAAGAATTTTTATCTAAATTACGTACAGTACTCAAATAGAAATGGGAGCATCTACTCTACCAATATTTAAAGTAAACAGTGGGCCACGTACTGCTCAAAATTTTCCGCTTAATGGGTAAAGTTTTACTACCTCATTTCTATAGACATACATTGGTCAGATTTTAATGTCTGTCAATCCATACAAGATGTTTGATATTTACGGTCTTGATAAAGTCAAAGAATATGAAGGAAAACCTATTGGAGAATTACCTCCGTAAGTTTAATAAGATCTCATTTGAAATTATGTATTCATTGTGTTGTGTTGTGTTTTGTTGTGTCATGTTTATATTGAGTTGCTGTTATTTTGTGCGTGCTTTGTTGCTGTTAGTTGCGGCGTTATCACAGGTTTAATTAAGTTGGATTGCATGTGTTGCGTTCGTTTGTATTGCGTTAGTTTGGGGTTAGCGTAGTTAAATAAAGTTTTACCTACCTTACCTACCTACCTGCGTTAGTCATTGGGCTGTAGTATTGTGTTGTGTGTGTGTTAATTGCGTTGCTTCGCGTTGCATTCATGTTTTGCGTTGCACATCTTTTCATTGTATTGAAAAATTGAAGCCCAACATAAAATGTTAAACATCTTCCATTGACATTGACTTGTTTTTTTTTTCACCACATTGCAGCACGTTAATTGTTTGCGTTTGCGTTTGCGTTGTGTTGTGTTGTGCTGTTTTCGAAAAAAATAACACCCTTTGGCTATGGAGCCTTGGCTATGGAGCCTTGAGACATTGGCTTAAGAGCCCTTTATCTTGTTACTGATTTCAAAATTATAAACAGATCTTTTCTATTCACTTCTATATACTGTATGGTTTCGTAGATGTCTCACCTGTAACTCATGTAACAAGATTAAGGGCTCTAAATCTAATATCTCAATCACGAAGACTGAACGCTTTCTGCAAGGATGTAATTCTATAAGACTTGAAAATTGCATCATGATATTATTCTGGAGCCGGTTGTTCAAACTGCTACATTAGCGCTAAAAAAATTTAACCTGCTGTTTTAGATTATGTATTTCTGCACGTCTGTTTATTTCAAAACTTCAGAAAAGAAAACTACAACTAATTCAGACAAGATTTCTAAAGAAATCTAATCCAGCTTTGAACAACTGGCCCCAAGAAACCGAGCGGTCTAGCGACGACAGCGGACACTTCATTTTCAAGTTTTTTTCTAACTTGATAGAGAACGTTTACAGGGAAAGGTTCGGATTTGCGCAAAATAATCTGCATATTGGGCGTTTTTCTCCCTCAAAGAAACTTTGAATCACGAAAATCGCATTACAGTGAGAAAAAAAAGGTTACAGGAGGACGCGCGTGACTGTAAATAAATGTAACAAAGTACATTTGTTACATTGATGGACAAATTGAGTCCCTAATCCTGAAACGTTTTCATTTGACACTGGTCCTACAACCACAACGATACAAATAGATTCATATGTTGTTTTTCAGACATATTTTTGCCATTGGCAATGCAGCTTACTATCAGATGTTGAAGGATGGAATCAATCAAGTTGTTGTCATTAGGTATATAGTTATACACTGTGGGACAGGCAATGGGTATTGTAAAGTGTACAACATATTGTACGCCTATTGAGCATATTAACATATATGCATGGCGGTTTATTTTTTAGTGGAGAGAGTGGCGCTGGTAAAACAGAATCCTCCAAACTTTTGGTTCAATATTTGGCTGCAGTGAATGAAGCTAAAGGAACCCTTATAACTGAACAGGTGAAAATTACTGATTGGGAATAGAACTACATTCTTTGTACTGTGGGATAGCTCTATCAGTTCTAAACTGTTCTTCCTAGAGGTCCAGTAAAGATCATCTCTTATTGATCCAGTGTTACTACAGGAGGAAACCTAAACTAAACTAACTTTATTTATACTGGATAGCTCTATCAGTTCTAAACTGTTCTCCCTGGAGGTCCAGTAAGGATTATCTCTTATTGATCCAGTGTTACTACAGGAGGAAACCTAAACTAAACTTAGTCTAACTTTATTTATACTGAATACATGTAGTTCTATCAGTTCCAAACTGTTCTTCCTAGAGGTCCAGTAAGGATCAACTCTTATTGATCCAGTGTTACTACAAGAGGAAACCGAAACTAAACTAACTTTATTTATACTGGATAGTTCTACCAGTTCTAAGGGAGCGGTCATTAATTATTGGGGGGGGGGGAGGGCCGGTAAATTTAGGGGGAGGGCTACCATTTTTTGGACCCCCTTTTGGGGAGAGCCAAATTTTTTTGTGCCCATCTAGAAGGGAGGGCCACAAATATTTGGGCACCTATTTCATTAAAAAAAGTTATATTTCAATGACCAATTCAATGGTCCCGTACACGGATAATGAATGAAGGCTTCCATGCAGAGATATAATTAAAACGAAATTTATTTCAC